TGTGTGTGTGTGTGTGTGTGTGTGTGTGTGTGTGTGTGTGTGTGTGTTCAGGCCAGGGACCAAGATTGGGTATCTCCTTTGATCCATCTCTCCCTTTACATTTTGAGACTTCACGTCTCACTGAACAGGTAGCTCAGTGACTCAGCTAGGCTAGCCCCCTGAGGTCCAAGGATCCCTCTGTCTCCACTGCACACACCCAGCCCTGGGATTATCAGTGCACACCTCCAAGCCTGGCAGTTTAGGCAGAAACTAGGGTTCAAACCCAGGGTTTCTTGGGTTTTCACTTCGAGCACTTAGCTGACTGAACCAGTTCCCCAGTCCCAAGAACATTTTCTTTTTTAAATTTATGTCTTGGGAACTACAGTGGAGACAATATTAAGAGGTGGAGGAGGAAGAAAGCTGACTTTCCTTTTTGTGTCCTTTTGGTGATATGAAAGGGAAATTAGTAGGTCTTGTTTTTTAATTATGTACGTAGCCAAGACTGGGAAAGAACTGGCTGCATAGCCCAGGTTTGCCTTGAATGCATGAACTTCCCCCCTCAACCTCCCAAGCGCTAAGATTAAAGATGTGCACCATCATGACTGACTCCAGTAACTGTTCATCCATTTATTTACTTCGGTTTGCATATGTGCACATGTGTGTGTGTGTGAGTGTGTGTGTGTGTGAGTGTGTGTGTGTGTGTGTGTGTGTGTGTGTGTGTGTGTGTAAGTGCACTCACCCATGCATGTAGATGTATGTGGAGGCCATAGGACAATCCCAGGTATCCTTCCTCAGGAGCTGTCCACTTCCAAAGAGCCCCTCACTAGCCCTGAGTACACCGATTAGGTGAAGCTGGGTGGACAATGAGCCCCAGGGATCTGCCCGTCTCTGCCTCCCCAATACCTGGCCCATGTCAGCAGGTCACACCTGGATTTTTAAAAACGTGGGCTCTGAGAAATCAAATTCATATCTTCATGCTTGTGGGAAAGGCATTTTACCTACGGAACATTCGTCCAATAATTTTTTATAAGAGCCAGTTCAGCTTTTTGTTGTTGTTTCGATGCTGCTGTGATAAAATAGCTTGACCAAAGGCAACTTAGGAAAGAGTTTATCTGGCTCACAATTGAAGGTTAGAGTCCATACTTTGGGAGAGCCAAGATGCAATCGGCTAGTCACATCCTACTCACAGTCAAGAGTGGAAGTAGATAGGTCCTTGCTTGATTGTTCTCATTTGGCTTTCTCCTGGCTCATATACTTCAGGATGCCCTTTGCAGGGAATGGTGCCACCCACGATGGGCTGGACCCTCCCAATCAACTAAACTAACAATTAAGACAGTGCTCCATAGCCATGCTCATGGGCCAACCTGATCTAGATAATGGACTCTCTTCCAGGTGATTCTAGTTTGTATCAAGCAGACAGAACTAACCAGCACAGATCCCTAGAGGACTCAAATAGTGAGGAACCAATATCTGCCAAGACTCTCCAGGGATCAGGAGATGTGGACACGAGCATGGTTCCCTTGGCAACAGAAGAGGCGTTTCATTCCCGCTGTCCTCCCCCGTACCTTCATCGCTGTTGTCATCCACCAGGATGATCTCTTTCAGCAGGTGTGTGGGTGTGTGGTTGACGGCACTGTGGACTGACCGCAGGATCACAGACAGGGCCTCATTCACGAAGATGAAGATGATGGATATTTGGGGCAGCTCCTTAGAGTATCTGAGCTCCTTGCACCTGGGGAAAGGAGAACAGGGACGATATCAGAGAAAGGAAGACAAGGCAGGAGGGGCTGGAGATGTGGCTCACAGATGAAGGGCACCGCTCTAGCTGAGGACCCAGGTTTGGTTTCCAGAACCACATGGAACATCTTCCAAGTGCCCATAACTCCATTTCAAGGGGATCTGATGCCATCTTGTAGCTTCCAAAGGCACCTGTGTTCATGTGACTTACACACATGCGCTCAATCATGACAATCAAACACATACATATAAAATAAATCATTTTTAAGTAATATAAAAAGAAATCACAGGAGATGTGGATGAACACAGAGGATTATAGCCAATTTCTAACCAGGTTTTGCTCCCCTCCACACACACACACACACACACACGGGGGGGGGGGGGAGAGAGAGAGAGAGAGAGAGACAGAGACAGAGACAGAGACAGAGAGAAAGAGAACCAAGGCCTCTACAAACCTGCAGCTGGGGAGATGGCTCAGTTGATAGTTTTTGCTATGTGAGCATGAGGACCTCACTTCAATCTCCAGAACCCACATCAAGGTAAAAAAAAATTATGTGGCGGTATATGCTTGTAATCTCAGTGCTGCAGAGGCAGAGACAGCAAATCCCCGGAGTTCTTGGGCTATTCAAACTCCCTACTTGGTGAGGTCCCAGTTGAAAAACAAACAACAACAAAATTAGAACTGGGAAGGTGCTCACTTCAAGTACAAGCATGAGGACTGGAGGTTGGATCTTAAAGAGCCAGGTTCAATCCCAAGAACCCCCACTGCAGTTCAGAACTGACTAGAACTGCAGGTTTGGGGAATTTGGCACCCTCTTGGGGCCTCCATGGGTACCAGGCACATGTGTTGTGCACAGACATACATGCAGACAAAACACCTACTCATACAATAAAAATTTAAAGAGTAAAGAAAGAAATAAAATAAAAGAAGGTAGGTAGCATCTGAGAAATGATAGCTGAGGTTATTGTTATCTGGCCTCTACTTGATCATGTACACACACACACACACACACACACACACACACACACTCACATGCATGCACAGGGGAGTGCAAAATTCCGACTCATCTTGCCTCTGTGAGATTGCACATAGAAGGACGCAGGAAGGACCTGAACAAAGGAAGTGGATGAGGGGATGGAGTGGGAGGGACACGCTGGGGAGGGAGGGAGAGATGCGTCTGTTTCTTTACGGTGAACAGCTTGGGCTGTGTCAGGCCGTATGAATCACACTGGCAATTTTCAAGAGAAAATAAAGTTTTGTTACAATATACATCCCTGCCTCCTGAGGAGACTGTTCAGGGATTCATGGCTCACACAGCCTTATTTTTGCTGTGGCCCTATAAATCCACGGCCTAGAGACACAGAGAGATAGGAATGGCCATTGCTAGGCTCATGAGCTATTGGCAGGAGTCACTGGCTGGGTGGCGACCCGAGGAATGAGGGCATGCCAGCAGGTCCCTCGGGACTCACCTCCGCATCCTCAGCCTGAGGCAGCTGCTCCATCCCAGCCCATTATTGGCCACAATGAAGATGGGAAGATGGGACTACATACAGCTTATACCTAGCTACTCTGAATGCTTACTTCTTTGGTCCTGTTTGATTTTATTTTTCATTTATTTTAATTTCGATACCAGGTCTTACGTCACCCAGGTTGGTCAAAGTTGACCCTGAATGTTTGATTTTTCCCTACCATTAGAGGTGCGGACCGCCACCCCAGTTTGTGTAGTGCTGGGAATAGAACCCAGGACCTTGGGCATGCTAAGCAAGCACTCTACCAACTGAGCCACTTCCCCAGTGCTGGCCCGCTATTTTTAATAGCTTCTACTCCTTCTAGGCAAGAACGAAGTCCAGGACACACTCTGTACTCACTGTCATCTCTACCCATGAGCAGTGGAGTCTGGTTGTGCTCAAGGATGGAGACGGTGCTGGATCTTGGGTGTCAACTAGATCGGATATGGAATCAGCTAAAAGACATCCTGCTGGGTGCACTCTCCCTTAGCGTGGGCTCCACCTTCCACAGCAACCGAGGCCTAGAGAGCTCTGATGGAAAAGCATCATCCCTCGCCTCCCTTCACTCCTCTATAGAGAGTGCCTCCATGCTTGATGCTGCTGCAGCAGCCATCTTTCACCATCACCGGAAGTGTCTCTCTGGGAATCCCCTAGGCCTTTGCCACTCATTCAGACTACTAGGCATCCAGTCTCATGGACTGCGCAGCTGCCACGTTCCCAGCCTCTTCGGTGTAAAGACAGCCACTGGTGAACCACCTGGTCCATCCTGGAGGCCAATCCGCTAAACACCATTTTATAATATATTCCCTTTATGAGTTCCGTTCCTCTAGAGCAGAGGTTCTCAACCTTCCCAGTGCTGGGGCCCTTTACTATGGTTACTCCTGCTGTGGTGACCTCTCCCCCCAACCATAGCATTACTTTTGTTTCTACCTCATAACTCTAATTTTGCTACTGTTATGAATCGTAGTGTAAAAATTTGTGTTTTCCCTTGGACTTTTGGGGTTTGTGACCCACAGGTTGAGGACCACTGCTCCGAGACACTCCCCACACCCACTCCCCACCCACCCCCGCCACTACCACCACCAACCAAACAGATTTGTAACTTGAGCCTCTGCTAGTAAAGTAAAAAGCATAAGAGCTATTGGGGGACGCGGCCTCAGTCCTTCCCTTTTATAGGTCAAAGTACCCAACAATAAGTTTTCACCCTGGGAGACTTTGGAAGGGTGAGGTATCCCATCATGCACCACACTACTCTGAGCATACACTCCTACGCACCACCTCGCCACACCTCAACCTTGCCTCCTGCAAAATTATTAAAATAATCCATGCTCTCTCTTGCTCCAGGCTTCTTGTTAAAGAAAGCAAAAAACAACCTTCTAGAACCTCATGAAAAACTACTATCTAGTGAAAAAAACAAAAACAAAAACAAAAAAACCGCTATCCTGTTGGCCTGGTTGGCACCTCTGTTCCCTGTTCTGGCTTCTCCGTTTGCTTTAATATACCCTAAGGGCCCATGAGGCCAGCTACCCTCCCACCCCACAGGCGTGCTCAGCTCACCTGTGCTGTGCATGACCCTTCCCTACACAGGATACTCCCAGCTCTCTGGCAGGCCATGTGTTGTTACTATGAGAACTAGCTTTAGTTTGCTGGGCTTTTGTGTCCTAGAAAGCTGAAAAAAACCTCTAAGATATGCACAGGTGCACAAGACAGTGAGAGCAGAGTGAGGGGGTGGGGAGGGAGAAGGAGAGAGTGTTACTTATCTACAAAGAACAAATGATGTCTGTCATTGGCAAGAAAAGAGATAGAAGTGGGGATCACCCCATTAAACAAAGTAAGCCAGATCCAAAGAGCTAAATATTGGGGCTGGAGAGACAGCTTAGCTGCTGTGAGCTGCCTTTGCAGAAGATTTAAGTGTGGTTCCAGCGCTTACATTAAGTGGCCTACAGCCACTGTACCCCCACAGGATCCAACACCCTCTTCTGGTCTTAGTGAGCATTACACACACATGAGCATAGCCCCCCCCCACACACACACATAAACATAGATAAAAATAAAACAGCTAAAGTAGAAGGAAACATTGCATGCTTTCTCTCATATACAGAATCTAGATTTAAAATATTTATATATCTCAGAAAGTAAAATATTATATGCTTTGCTTATATGCAGAACATGGATTTAAAATGTATAAAATATATTTGGTATACATTATGTATCTTTTTTCATATATTAGAAGTTCAAGGCTATTCTCAGCTACATTAAGGAGATTGAGGCCAGCCAGGGCAACATCAGACTCTGTCTCAAAAATTAAAATAGGGGTCTCTCAGCAGTTAAGAGCACTTCTGAAGAACCTCAGTTCAGTTCCCAGCACCTATATCAAGTAGCTTACAATAACCTATAACCTCAGTTCCAGGGGATACAATACTTCCTTCTGATGGTATCTATGCATGTTTGCACAGGCACAAACAAATAGTAAAATAAATCTTTTTAAAAACTGAAATAAAATGAAAGCATGTATGGCATGAAAATAGAAGACGGCTATCTGTAAAGAGACAGGAGACCACTTCTAAGGGAGTGGGGCAGGGGAGGGTAATGGGTGGATATGATCAAAGCCTGTGATATATATCACATATCCAATGTACAAAATAATGGGTTTGCTAATTTAAAAATAAACCCTTAAAATAAATATCCATCTCTAGCTTCTAGCCTGTCCTATGGAAGCTCAGAATAAGCTTGGTGTGTGCAGAAATGGACAAGAGAAGTTTTAGGTATATTCTGAAGGGAGTCAGATTAGGCACAGATGCATATATATGGTATTTCCAATGCCCAGGGCAGGACATGACCGGAGGAAGGGAGCACACGTGCTGAAGATGGAGAGAGAGAGGACTCACAGGCCAGGGGGTTGGAGAGCATGGGTCAGACTGTAGCTCAGTGGTTCTCAACCTTCCTAACACTGCGACCCTTTAATATGGTTTTCTCAGGTGGTGGCCCCAGTCATGCAGTTACTTTCATTGCAACTTTATAACTGTAATTTTGCTTCTGTTATGAACTGTAATGGAAATATCTGTATTTTCTGATAGTCTTGAGTGAACCCTGTGAAAGGGTCATTCAATCTCCCAGAGGGGTTACAACTCACAGGTTGAAAACCACTGCTATAGCTCCTTTTCCTGAGGAGATGAGGCCAAGCTAAACTGTACTGTGGGCAGGCAGCTCGAGCTCACCTTCTTGCCCTCCCTATAAAGTAAACCATGCATAACCACACGTTTCCTGCCTTGTCAGCCTCCCAGGCTGCAAAGCCAGCTATGCAGCCTGTAAAGCTATCCCCACCCCCTCCCTAATCCTTTGTTTTTCTGAGGCATGGTATGCTGGTTAGTTTAAACCATCATCACCTGGCAAGGGTCTCAATGAGGGATTGTCAGTATCAGGTTGGCTTGAGGGAAGTCTGTAGGAGATTGTCTTTAAATGGTTGGTTGATGAAGGAAGACCCAT